ACTACCCGACTTATAAGTCACCAGCTTCTCTGATTCTTTCTTAAACATTGTATTACAGACAATCATATCCATAGCATCACTAAAATCCAAAATCCTCTCTCCTTCCAAATTTCTCATGCCGTAACTGAACCCTCCATGTACTCCTTCATAACCCTCACTACTCGCTCCCACATGTCCATTCAGATTACCAGCCAGGATAATCCCCTCTTCATTTGCCAGTCTCGATGTCACCCCCAATAGACTGTCCCAAAATATATCTTTCTCTTCTTCACTTCTTCCAACCTGAAGAACATATGCCGAGATAATATTATATAGCTTTCTACCAAAAATCATCTTGATAACCATTATCTGGTTGTCTAGCCTTCTCACTTCGACTACTTTTTCTACCAATTTCTCCGCAACCAATACCCCAACTCCAGCCTTACCATCATTACCTCCTTGCCAAAAGAATTTATACTTTTCGCTAGTCTTGCCAATCATTCTGGTCCCATTTCCTTTCCATCTAGTCTCCTGTATGCAGCACACATCTATATGCCTTCTGTGCAATACATCGACGACTTCTCCCGCTCTTCCCGTCATACTCCCAACATTCCATGTCGCGACCCTAACTCGATCACCCGTAAACTGGTTTCTCCACATTTTATCAGGTCGTTTATGGCGTCATAAGTTTCATTTTCATGAATAGTGGTTCCACCAGGTTTCCCATCCTTCTTTTTGTCGTAGGCGGATGAGGAGGCCCACGGGGTACTTAGAGCTGTACCCCGCTCATGCTTTGTTGTAACCATAGGGAAATTTTGTAGCAAGGTTTTTACAATCGGATGACCTTCCTGACATCAACCTCTATAAGTGGTTTTTACACCCCGTCGAGGAGACGGTGATCGTGATCCTATTCTAGACCCAGATCACAGGGAACCTTTTAGACCTCCATTAGCCGCCAAAAGACGTTGACATTCCCCCGCCAAGATGAGGCTGAAGGTAGGATTTTGGGAGAGAGGTAGGATTTTGGATGAAAAAAGGGAAGGCATCAGGTTTAACGATGGTGGTATCAGAGATGTTTAAAGGTTCTGATGATTTAGGGATTGAATGGTTAATGAATTTAACCAATCAAATTGTCACAGAAGGTACTATTCCCGAGGACTGGTGAAGAAGTATAATTATCTCAGTATACAAGGGGAAAGGTGATCCTTTAGATTGCGGGTCTTACAGAGCTATTAAACTCTTTGGTGTTAGAGAAGCGGTTAAGGGAACAAATTAAAATTGATGAAATGCAGTTTGGTTTTACATCGGGAAAAGGCACGACAGATGCAATTTTTGTGGTGAGACAAATTCAGGAGAAGTATCTTGCGAAGGAAAAGAAACTCTATTATGCGTTTGTTGATTTGGAGAAAGCATAAAACGGAGAAGAAGCTATAAACGACCTAATAATAAGTGGAGAAATAAATTTACGGAGGATGGAACGTTGGGGGGATGACAGGAAGAGCGGGCGAAGTGGACGATGTATTGCATAGAAGGCATATAGAAGTGTGATGCATACAAGAGACCAGATGGAAAGTTAATGGCGCAAGAACAATTTGCAGGACAAGTGAAAAGTACTTTTCTGGCAAGGAAGTAATGATGGTAAGGCTGGGGTTGGGGTTTCGGTTACAGAGAAATGGGTGGACAAAGTAATCGAAGTAAGAAGGCTAGATAATCAGATAATGATTATCAAGATGATTTTTAGTAGAAAGCTATACAATATTATTTCGCCATATGTTCCTCAGATTGGAAGAAGTGAAAAAGAGAAAGATACATTTTGGGACAGTCTATTGTGTGTGATATCGAGACTGGCAAGTGAAGAGGGGATTATCCTGGCTGGTGATCTGAATGGACATGGGGAGCGAGTAGTGAGGGTTATGAAGTAGTACATGGAGGATTTAGTTACGGCATAAGGGTAGAGGAATAATTTAGATTTTATGATGCTATGGATATGATTGTAATATAATGTTTGAGAATCTGAGAAGCTGGTGACTTACAAGTCGGGTAGTGCGAAAAGTGTAGTGGATTATTTGTTAGTAAGGAGATTTGTTAGGAGCATAGTAAAAAATATGAAATTGATACCGGAAGAGGAATGTAAAGATCAGCATCGGCTAGTTATAGATCTCACTTTTAAAAGAAAGTTTGGAATTTGAAGGGGGAGAGTGCTAGACGTCAATTCAATATGACATTGGCGCTAAGAGAGAAGGAGATGTCACAAGCATCTGGGGTAAATGACAAGTGGGAAGCCATGAAGAAAGCTTGGGCGATGACAACTGAGGAGGTATGTGGAAGGACAAAAGGGCCGCCTTGATATAAGGAGACTTGGTGGTGGAACCCGGAGGTAGCAAAAGCTGTGGACGAGAAACGGAGGTGCTTCAAAGAATGGTACATTAGTAAAGAAAATAATGATAACGATATTTAAAAGGTGGCAAAAATAAATGCTAAAAAATTAATAGCGAAAGTGGAAGAAATAAAAGGCAGGAGTCTGCTAAAGAAATGGAATAGCTGAAGGAATGGGAAATGTGATTTGAACAAAGCAGATGGCAAAAAAGTGGCAGGATGTGGTAGGTAAATGTTTGAAAAATATGGAAGGAAAAATAGTGATTGATAGTAGCGGTATTAAGAACACCTGGAAGATTTACATGGAAAGACTTCTGAACGAAGAGAATGAATCGGAAAATGATGTAGTTGTGTGAAGGTAGAAAGTCCAGGGTGTAAATTTGGCAAGGTCGAAATTAAGAGAGTAGTGAAAAAGATGAATAAAGCGAGTTCAACGAGAGTAGTATCAGAAATGTCTAAAGGTTCCGATGACTTAGTGATTGAATGGTTAATAAAAATTTAGCCAATCAAATTGTCATAGATGGAACTATTCCTGAGGATTGGCGAATACACAAGGGGAAAGGTGATTATTTAGATTGCGGGCCTTACAGAGCTATTAAACTCTTGGAACAGCATTGAATGTAATTGAGGAGTTAGAGAAGCGGATAAGGGAACAAATTAAAATTGATGAAATGCAGTTTGGTTTTACATCAGGGAAAGGCACGACAGATGCAATTTTGTGAGACAAATATAGAAGTATCTTGCGAAGGAAAAGAAACTGTAATATGCGTTTGTTGATTTGGAGAAAGCATTTGACAGAGTGCCGGGCGAGGCTACTAGATGTGCCTTGAGAAAAACAGGCATGGAAGAATGGTTGGTTATGGCAGTGATGGCAATGTATGTGGGCAACTGCTGTAAGGATGGATGATGGAGATAGTGAAAGCTTTGAAGTGAAGATAGGACTTTATGAAGGATGAGTCCTTTATTATTTATCTTAGTAATAGATGTGGCGGCTAGAGATATGCGTGAAGGACTTCCCTGGGAGCTATTATATGCAGATGACCTTGTATTAATGGCAAACAGTGAGGGAGAATTGAGGGATATAATTAGTCAATGGAAGATGGCTACAGAATCAAGGGGCCTGAAAATGAATGCAGCACAGACAACGGTGATTATTGGTGGGGAAAATCTAAAGATGGAGGAATCCAGTAAGTGGCCTTGTGGTGTATGTGGGAAAGGAGTTGCTAGAAATTAAATTCAATGCATCAGATGCCAGAAATGGGTGCATAATAGATGTAACAGGAAAAAAGGTAGTTTGATGTTAGCAAGAATGACGTTTATTTGTAGAACGTGCATATATAGGGTAAATGATAGCGTAGAAAAATGGTGGTCTGGATATTGGCAATGAGTTAACCCTAGGGAAAGTGGATATGTTTTGTTATTGGGGTGATATGCTAAAAGCAGATGGTGAGATTCTGCCGTTATTGCAAGGGTCAGACAAGCATGGAAAAAATCTCTCTGAAGTTAAAGGGGAAAGTTTACGTAAGCTGTGTGAGGAGTTGTTTAGTTTATGGAGATGAAACATAGACAATGAAAGCGACTCACGAAGCCAAATTAGAAAGAACAGAGATGAGGATTATTAGTTGTATGTGTGTAGGGTATCTCTGAGAGAGAGAAATTAGCAAAGAATTGCGAGAAAGATTGATTATAGAAATGATTGGTGTGGTAATGCGAAGAAATAGACTAAGATGGTTTGGACATGAGGATCCTAAGACAAAAAATTACTGGATCTGGAAAAAGGAGGATCAAGTCAAGACCTAGAGGAAGGTCCAAGATGACGTGGTAATGTGATAGCGGCGGATATATGATAAAAATGAATCTTACAAGTATTGATGCTCAGGACCGTAAAAGGGATAAGAAAAATCATAGGGAAAACTGGCCAACTTGGGTAAACCATTAAACGGAAAATATTTAGTTCTTCTAATAACATTTTATTCTTTATATTGTTTGCCAAACTGATACAGTAAAAGCACAAAAAATTGATAAAATTTTCAGATACTGGCTACTATACTAATTAAAACACTCATAAGCATTAATAGTATGAAACCTTGGAATAGATTTTATAAATAGTGCTTAAAAATGTTCAGCTAACTTTAATGGAGATAAGCATATAAAAAAATAAAATAAAAATAAGTTGGGAAAATCAAAAATTTCTACTTCCCTCTTTAATAAATCCTGACTAAGCCATTGTCTACACTTATATCAGTTTAGCATTTGTGATACCGATATTTTCGTATCTACGGAAATAAATTCATATCAATGATTTATTTAATTAAATCAAAGAATTAAAGAATAGAAAGAGGAAATAATTCTGACTTTGAAAACTTTTCTAATGATTAAGGACAAGACAATCAACCAAGTTACATCCTTTTTGAAAATTGTGATGTTTATTTTCAAAACATAATCAAGAGTTTTGATGTAAAAAAATTATTCTCAAAGTTATATTGATAAAACCAATATTAATATAATATAGGGAAAAAATGTTTAAACAATACAAATAGTTTTAATTTTATGTATCATTTCAAAATTAACTACTAGTTTAAAATGATACCTTACAAGACAAGGTAAAATTCTATAATATGATAAAATAAATATAAAAAACTTACAAAGTCAAATTATTGAAACCGGTGTTTCTTAATGTGAAAGCTCTGGCAAGCAAACGAATATGCTTAAACTCAAGACCTATCTCCTTTTCTAACCCCGTTAATTTTTCCAATAAATCTACTTTAGGGATCCAATGCCGATCGCCCCAAGGTTCATCTTCCTAAAAAAAAATTGATAATATCATATCTAATCCATTCAAAATATTAAAAAATTATCCTATCACGTAAAAATAAAATTAGAGACTTTTGAAGATTCGGTCTCTTAAAATCAATTTTTTGAAATCTGGTTTGGAAAATATTAAAAAGTTATGTTCAGGACCAAGGTGCCTAACCAACCTGAACCTTTATAATTTTCTGAGCTATAACAATAACTGAACCGTTAAAAAGTAATTTCAAAAGAAGAAAATTAAATCATTATAAATACAAACCGGATAATAAAAGTTATTTTAATTTCGAAATCAGCACAATTTGTAATATTTTTGTTTATTTTAATAGTATATAATTCATTATATTAATTCTTATTTTATAATAAAATCAAGAAATTCGACTTATTCTCTTAATTTTATAGGGATTAATTTAAAAAACAAAATGTATAAAATCTGGATGAACGAAAATAACCGATATGAATGAACCGAAACGGACCGATATAATTCAAATAACCGGATGGAACTGAACTGTTATGCTTAACGGTTCAACATCCTGGACAGGACTGTAAATAAGTACATCTGTAGATCTCTAAAAATAATTAAAAGAGCAACTAATCTTATTTTGGCAGACAAAATATATTATAACTAAAATTTTAATTCATCTTTATGTAAATCGAATTTTATTTAATAAACAATTCTTTATTTAAAAAAATGTTTTCTTGCATTGAAAAATTATAAACTGGTAAAAAAAGCAATTCAATAATAGTTTGGTTACTTGTAATGGATGTTTAGATAAATTGGTCCAAACTTCATATAATTTGGGTTCATCTCCAAATAAGCATTTTGATAAAAAGTCATCTACTATGCTCAATGACCCATCCAGAAATATAGCACCTTATTTAATTAATTTTAAAAAAATTGGCTTTATATTTTGTTAAAAAATAAAATATAATAACGACGAGTAGCATAGCTGCATAAAAATCAGTGACTTAAAAAAAATGCTTTATATATTAAGTTGCGTGCTTAGTAAAAAAAATACCAACTTATGTTTTTGACTTATCTTTTATTTGACTCTTAATAATAATAAAAATAAAATGATTGTATTAACATGAATTTGAATATAGTATAATACTATTATAAATTTGAATACCAATGGTTATGATTATAAATATAAATAAAATGAAGTTTTGAATATAATATTATATCTAATGAAATATAGTGGTCTATTATTAATAAGCGATTATTTTTTTATTCTTAAAATCTTACATTAATTTGCAAAGTTTTCAATACAACAAAAATATCGTGTTAATATTAAATGTCTACCACAGACCAAAATGAGGGGACGAGTCTTCGTTTAGGATGAGACGTGTCCCGTCCAATATAAGGTCTTAAAAGTAGCCCCGTTTTTGTCTTTCAAAAAAGATGAAATGAGTTTTTAGATTTATAACAAATATTTAAAAAATTGAAAATCGTAAAAATTTTGTTGGTCTTTGAAAAATTGATATCATTTAGTCATAATTTTTAAAAATAACTTTAAGCACTTTAAAATGGAGGAGGATATATTATACTCTGAGAATGAGTAAAATATTAAAGTAGAAAAAAGATATACTAATATCCATAAATGGCAGAGATTATCTTTTACAGCAAGCAACTCTGTGGCATAAGAGAGAAGTTTTTATAAAGTTGAAAACTTGATTAGTAAAAAGCATAATCGACACTCAAGTAAAATATGCAAGCTATTATGATCTTAGGTGGTCCAAATATGGTCTATCTCTAGATCTTATACAATAAATACACATACGATACGATGAGAAGCTTTACAGAAAAATCTTAATTTTACAACACATTTTATCATACCAAAATTTATATATACATTATATGTGCTATAAAATAATGATAAATTTAAAATAAAAAAAAAATTCTAAGAATATATTATCATTATCAATAACAATAAAATTTCTCATATTTATTTAATAATAAGTATGACAAAAAAAGTTAGGATGGGACGGTCTCATCACAAGTATGGCATCTTTGAATGCGTCTCGTCTCAAGTAGAGTATTGAGATAGGTCAGATCTTAAAAAAGACGAGGCAGGATGAGCATCTGGTCAGCTCTATATAATAATAATGAAAATACCTAAAAGCGCTTCGAATGCGTTGGACATTGCATGGTTCAAGTCAGATTGATGGCATAAATCGGGACCGTGAACATAGAGCATATATTTGTCTAATTCCAATTTCTATATTATATCGTTAGATAAATATAAAAAAACATAATAGTACAGTAAGAGTATAATTAATTTTTAAAAAATTTATGGTACTTATATATTTTTTTTCTATTTGATAAAGGAGAAAAATAAAGGTAACAGATATATCATATAGTTTGGAACCGTAACCAGAATCTATCTTAAAATTGATGGGAATCGTAATTTTTATTAGCATTTCAAGCAGTGGTCCAAACCGAAACGAATATTGGTTAGGTTCAGATATAAATAACGGTTCGAGGTTCAGGTTTGGTCCTCTAAAACTCAATTTAACTATTTATATACAAACTTACATTAGAATTATATATAGAGAAACAATTTTTTTCATTATTAAAAATATACACGTTTATTTTATTATTAATTACTACACATTTTCATAAATTATAACAAATAAACAAACTTCAATATTGAACATAATTTACTTAAAAAATAGTATAAGGTACAATTAAACTATTTTTTACCTTAGTCAAATTACATCTCTGTATAAATTTTATTGTTGCAAAAAAATTTCTCTACGCTAACGCGAGTAGCCACCACTGCCAATATAACATCAGAGAATTTATATAATTTGAAATATCAATTAGTCTAATTTTGCCAATAGTATGATATTCAATTCTTTATTTAGACGATGTTCTTTAGGAAAATTAACTAAAAAATATCTAATAGATTTTGTTATGACCATGTGTTCTTTAAAGACTTCTTCAAGAGTATATTGACATGACGGCATCATAATCTTTTTTATTTCTTTTGGTTTTTACAGGAAGATTTCTTTTGATGTGATGCTCAAGATTTGCACCATAATGGGTTTTCATAATTGTATTCATAGGCGATGTTAGGAAGTCCCCACCCCTCGGAAATTTGCCTTTTCCCGTAAATATTAATATAAATCGAGGGGGGTGTATATTAATATCACTATAAACGATATTTTGAAATAAACACAAGCAAAAGTTAATAATTTATTATTAAATAATGACTAACATTCAAATTTTTTAGAATAAAGGCATTTTTATAATTAAAAAAAAGGTGAGAAATCAAAACTATTATTTAAAAAAATGTAATATAGCCAAATGCCTAAAATAGGTGATCTTAAAGATCTTCAATAAAATTTATGGGGAAAAAATAAACCTAATAGCCCCACCCCTCCTCTAGCAAAAAGTTACTATATATGTCTATGATTGTATATCACAAACTGTAACAAAACATTTGTATGATCATTTATGTCTATGATTGTTATATCACATGTAATATGTCTATGATTGTATTTCACAATCTAAAACAAAACATTTGTATGATCATTTATATATGTAAATAATTTACATGATTTAATTTATCAAAAAATGGAAATTATTTAAAAATGGTGTAAAATATCAATATAAGTATTTATAAAAAATATTGAATGATAATAATTTATAAAACAATTCTGATATAAATCCCAATTTTCTTAATATACTAGTAATAACTTTTACATTATTTTATAAGCATAAAATCATGAGGTTCAAACAGGTTCACAGGATTTTTTAGCGGTTCATAAGTAGAAATGATTTAACAATTCGGTTCAGGTAGAAAATGATTTAACGATTCAGGGTCGGTTCAACAAAAATAACCGTTAATACCCGTTTAAAGGTTCGGTTTGGATTTTTGATTTCACGAGACCGGGCAGGCCTGCGGCCCAATGGGCCGTTATAGACCGGATATTATATTTTCTAGCGGGCCTGGGATTTTAAATTTTATTAATGGACTTGTACAAATTTTTTATTTAAATTTAACTTATTTAAAATATTTGCTAATTTAAAAAATATTGAAATTCTTCAAACAATAATAATTTTCAGTATTGTAATAAAATGATTGCTTAAATACACTTAAATATTGTTTATTTTCATATACAATAGATTAAATTATTGAATATGGACTTGGGAAAATTTTTGTCAAACCTACTATGGGGTTGGGAACTATTTTTATTATTAAATAAGGACTGGGCCGGGCCTAAAAATTTTTTTTAATACGGGCCTAGGTCGAGTGATCAAAAAATCTAGACCATATTGTTATAAATTTTGTGTGATTCATTTACGGCGTTTATTTAGTTATTTTAAGCAGAACCCTCGGTATTGAGTCAAATTTAAAACACCGAAAAAAAATCAGGAACCGGAATCGCCTTCTATAAATATAGTGTAGATTTTTTAGTCCAGGTTCAAAACTTTGAACATATAAGCGAATAAATTAAACGAAAATAAAAGGCAAAAACCTTAGCAAGAATGGCTAGATGGCTGTTTTGTACCAAAGATGCCCTGTAAACGGCTAATCCTCCCTCTTCGATATGAGGAAACATGAAAAATAGGTGCACGCTGGTTAAGAATTCTATGATGGCGTCTCCAAAAAATTCTAGCCTCTCGTTGTGATTAATTATTTGATTGTAACATTTATTTAGAGAAGATTTATCTATTTATTTGTAAATTAAAACCATATAAAGTATAGGTTGCTCATGAAGTAAAGCATTATCAGTTTATTATAAAAATGTTTTGCCAAAAAAAGAATATTATAGGCATGCCGAGTACATTTTTACACATGACCCCGGAGACTAATGGGTTAAATAAAAACTTTAAACAAGAGAATTTAAGTAATTTCCAGAAGCGTATAAATTAATATTGAAAAGCTAATAAGCTCCAATTAAGACGCCACCTAATTTATTATAAGCAAATTAGTTCACAAACTATGAAATAAGATTTACGTTTTTCTTATAAAGAAAATAAATAATCATTTTAAACTGACCAAAGATATCATGTTCGGATAAATAGTTTGCCGTTTTGGGATGAGATGAACCACTAGAAAAATCGCCTTTTAGTTTCATTATTTTGTTGAGCGTAATAATACCTGGGTAATATTTTTGCATTTATTAGTTTTATAAAATTAATTTCAATTTTCTTTGGATAAATTAAAAATAATAATAACCTGTATTATTTGAATAATTTAAATGTCATTTAATGCAGTGGCTCCTACAACGGGGGGGGGAAGAGGGGTACGAAGCAACTGCTTCTTGAATGGGGTATTTTTATTGATTTTTTTTAAAATTTTTTTATTGTTTTACCATCCATAACCAAGTATTTTCATTGAAACCATGAAAAATATGGTTATAAAAAATTCAAAAAAAGATTGAATTTAACAAATACTTTTCAATTATAGTTGATGACACATATGATGTTTCGAAATCAGAAGCAATAGCGTTGTTAAACTATAGGCATATATTGTACGGGAAATACAACTGGTCCCGATATTAAAAAGAATATAGTATCCAAACTTGGGTCCATGAATCTACCCCTCGAATTCCTAGTTGTTTTGACAAATTTAAAGGATTCTGAAGATCCTGCCACTTCCACTATGGGTAGTGTTATAGTCTTTAGAAATAAATTTTCTTTTATTATTTTATCACTTTGTGTTTGAAATAAAATATTGTTGATAAAACAAGCTTGGTTTGTACAAAATTGCAAGCATTTAGAAGGATATAGGGTTTAATAAATCAAATTCAATTGGAAAAAGATTGCCTGATTAATTTGAGAAATAATTATTGCCTTTTATTATTTTTTAATCCTAATAGATAATAACACTTAATTATTGGATGTTTTTTCAAGCACAAGTTTGATTTTGAAAGTTCTAGACTTCAAACATTACAATCCAAAAAGGAGAGGTATATATATACTTTCATCATTAAATATAATATTTATTTTACTTTAAAACCAGTGTTTTTTATGCTGCTCTTGATTTGATTATTATGCAGTTTAATGAAAGATTTAATGATGAATCGATGAAATTTTTAAATAGAACATCATTTTTTACACCAAAGGGAATGGCGGAAAAGTCAATCGTTAAAAATGATATCGAGGATATCTGTAAATTTTACCATTTAAATTCAAGTCAAATTTTTGAAGAATTGAAATTTCGAAATATTTATAAGATGGCTAAAATGGGGGATGTAATTATTGCACGTGACCTGGAGACTAAAGAATCTAAAGATTTGTTAGATTATGAGAATTGTAAATTTATTAAATTAAAATATTTTTACTAATATATCATTTAGCGATGATGATAATTCTGAGACTTATGATTCAGACTGGAAAAACTATTCGTTTATTTTACCTTATCATCTACTTTAAAAATTTTCTGCTTTTTAACAATTTTATAAAAATATTTATTAATCATTCCTACTAACATGTACTATCGAAAGGGTCATGAGCAAGGTTGCCAGGTCTCACCCCATCAGGGGAAGACTCCCGCAATTTTTTAATTTACACGCAGACATCTCACTTCCGCAATAGGAAACCTACCGTAAAAATCTACCGCAATTTTTGAATTTCTCCAGCACAATGTTTTTTATAGCATTTTAACGTTTTTAATATATAAATAATAATTTTAAGAAACAGTAATTGATTATTTTTATATTTTTAAAATAAATTTTAAAAATTTATTCAAAAACATGTCTAGTTTGTAAATTTCTTTCTATCCTTACCTAAATCATATGTTTAATTTTTATCCAATAATAAATCAACATCATTCATATTTAATCACTTTCAAATGTGTTACCTATTTTGAATTGATAAAACTTTACCGACTTTGTTAATATTTATATAAAGTAATTATAGAAACTAATAGGGGGATAACTAAACCAATTCACAATCCCGGCCAACGGCCAGCCCGAAAATTTTGACCTGGCAACCCTGGTCATGAGTAAAATTAAATTAAGACTTCATAGTACCATGAAAGATCCATTTCTTAATAATTTAACCATTTTATCAATGGGAAAAAATTTATTTAAACAATTAAATATTGATGAAATTATAAATTCTTTCACTTTTTCTTCCCCTAATTTGTCTAAATATTAATTTAAAAATAATATTTTTAAAGTATATATTGTTTTTACATTTTATTTATATTATATATTAAAGATTGATGCAATAAAAATTATTTTTGAAATTTATGGGTGTCAAAAAATAATTAGCCATGTTTTGAGGGGGGGGGGGGGGTTCTACATTTTAGGGGGGTATTCTGCTTCTATCGCTCACAAAGTGTAGTGGTCACTGATTTAACGACATAGGTGAAGAAATGCTTCATGCCACCTCTATATATCATTGGTCTAGAATTGGAGTGCTCCACTCGACATTTTCAAAATTTTTGAGTTAGAAGTGGATAATAACTTATTTATTCCCAATATATATAAAAATAAAAAATAGATTAAAAAATATTAATTTTTGCCAAAGTTCTAGCTCTGTCAATTTTGCGCTATTTGCATATAACGATGTAATTTTTGTTTCATATACATGGCCTATCCTATTATCTTATTTAATCACGTGTTGTATCCTTTTTTTTAATTTTTTGCTTTCCATATTGAATCGTATGATATTTTATCTTTAAATATAGTTACATAAAATGAATTTGAAATTAATCATAATGAAATTTATCACAATTTTTTAATAATTGACTTGCTCATAATTTAAATAAAAATTACATAAAATTAAATTGATTAAATAATTGTTTTTAAAATTTATCACAATTTTTTATTAATCTACTTGCTCATAATTTAAATAAATTATTAATTATTTGCTCATTAAATATACATAAAAATTATTATTTTTACTTTACCTAGCCCTTCAATCTAGCAAATGAAAGAAAAAGACTAAGAAAATGTGGTGAGGCCTATATCAATATTAAAGGTGATTTTAAAAGAGCAAGGATGGTTCAGAATGATCATTCTAATAAATGTATATTTCAATGTCATAAAAAAGTAAATGCAGATCAGAGTAAAATTATTCATGAGGCTTTTTGGAGCTTAGCCGAAGAAGCTAAAGGATTTTTCTATAGCAAATTTATTATTAGGACTCCATGTAAGGGAAGGGTAAAAGATTCTTTAAATTAAAACTCTTCATACTTATATTTTTTGAAGTGGAGAATGTTTAGAGTTTGCAGATAATTTCATAAGTAATAAACATATTAGTTATTTCTTTAAAAATTAATACCAAAATACTGGAACTGATTTATCTCTCTAGATAAGGTAAAAATACTAAAAATGTTATTTATGATGGAGATAAAGATTTCATCATTGATCATATAAACACCATTCCAAGAGTCTATTTCACATTACAGGCAAAAAAGATTCTTCAAAGGAGTACTTTGAGGGAAGTCTCAATTATAAAATACCTTATGATTTATAATCTCAAAAATGTGATGAATTATCATGAATTCCTGTTAAAGATAATTATTACATGAATAAATTTGAAATTATTATTTTGAATATATTTATTTATTTCTAATAAAAAAATGTAAATGGAACATTTTGAACATCAAAAAATCATAAAGTGTTATATTTGATTCACATGCATTTTGATTTTATTAAATATATTTTATATTAAAATTTTTTGAGCAAATATTTTTTAGGCAATAATTAATTAACAATATGATAAATTATCTCTGAAATTATTATGATCAATAAGTTTTTCCTATATTTGATTTTAAAGTTTAATGTTGATTTTCTCATTTTAAACATTTGCGCAAATGGAGCACTCCAATTCTAGACCGACGACATATATAATAAAGTTTACAATCCTGTCAAGCCCTATATTTTATGGAAGGCAATTTTGACCTCTTTAATATGTTAAAATAGAAAAAAAAAATTGTGAAATTAAAAGTAATAATTTTAAATTGGAGATTAAGATAAATTATGCTTTAACACCTCTTTTTCGAGAAGCCAAAATTTTGTGAGCCTTATCGCCATAAATGGGATTTCTCAGTCCACAATTCGATAAAGTGTTGCGGCAATGATCTGGATTGCTTCCATAATTGGGTTTAAACGATGGGTGGGTCATTGCTTTCTTTTTGATAAAATATATAAATTACAATTTAATTATTTGTGCGTTCAACTTTATGTCAATTTAGCTATAACAATATACTTGCAGTAGTGAAGGGTCCTTGAATTTATATTCGATGGTATTTTGAAGGACCAAAAGGGATTTGTGATATCGCAAATGAAAGGTCAATACTTTTTAAATATAAATAATTCATACTCATTTTTGTGAAATGTAAAATAAATTTAAAAAAATAAAACATCGTACTAAATAGATATTACTTATTGAAATCCAATCCTATAATTTGTATTCGATCATTTTAAAAAGGACTCAGCAGTTTATTTTCTAATCCTTATTCAATCATTTCCGTCTTCGGCTTAATAGCAATGAAAGGTATGATAGTGGCAGCCTTAAACCTTATTCTAATGAGCCATATCATTATATTCAAAATAATCAGTTAAAGAATCAAAGAGATCTCATTTCTGAATATATCAAAACTTACAAAATGAAATTTGGTATCGGAGGTAGAACGTTCCACTTATGTCGCTTGAATTCATATTTCTTACGCTAACACACCACTTACCTTTTAACTTAATTTTAAAAAATTTATAATAATTTTTGTCACATTCCATCATTAGTCTAAATTATAAATACAAGCCTTTCCCTAAATATTTGAGTCGTGCATTTCCGTCTGAACTCAAGTCCGATTTGGTCAGATTCAAAGTTCATTTGTTTAAAAAATTTCTTTAAGCCCGCCCAATGTTTTGAAATTATTTGATTGGTTGGTTTGGTTCCTTATTTATTTTATTTTAATATATTTTTACTTAATGCTATGTCCTAAATATCACAAATATAAATAAATTTATTAATTTCCAGAAAAAAATAACATAAGCTATATTTAAATGTAAAAATAAAATAGTGTTCTATATAATTTTTCGTCCTTTATAAATTTATTATTTTTTTAAAATAATATAAATAAATAAATTTTGCTTAAAATTTATAAATTTGTGTAATTTTTTTGAAAAAAACTAGTAAGTAATATTAAAGTATTTGCTAGCATTGTTATTTTTCGTATTATATTTCTCGTTTATTTTATTTTTTCTTGGTTTTTTGGTTGTTTTTCTTTTTTTTTGTTTTCTTTTATTTTTAAAAAAAATAATGGAAGATTTCGGACATGACATGTCATAATATTATTAATTTGCAAAAATTTATAAATGAGGTATTTTTTAATATATTTAGGATAGCCCAAACAAATAAAATAAGCAATATTATAAATAAAAAATAATTTTTAATAAATAAAAGCCCTTATGTTTATTCGCTAGGAAAATATTTCAAATTCACTCATCTACATACTCATTGTTTGAAAATTTTTAAACCCGTCCAATGTTTAAATTTTTAACCCGCCCTCCCACACTCATTCATTGTATAGGCGGACGGGTTAACACCCCGTGCATTGCAGACTTCTACTCTGGATCCCTAGAATCCTTTTCATTGCTAATAATTCTAGGATATAAAATGATATAATAATCTGGAATAGGATTTTGTGTGTACTGTCTTCTGCTAAGTCTCTAATCTATGCCGATTTTTACCAGGTAGACATTTTAAAATAAACAAGTATTCGAATATTCCCTAAATCAAAATTTCCTCGGCTAGTAATTAACCCACTTTTATAATTGAATATTTTTTTAAAGTTTACACCCTATTACAGACATTTAGTTTTTTAAAATTATATAGCGTTCAATTTTACTAAAAGTATATATTATTTCATATCAATTTTTTAATAATGTAATTATTACTAGGTAATATCATGGAATACTGTACAACATCCGTTTTTATTCCAGTTGTGTAGTAACCTTGGCTATCGATGGCAATTGTCTGATATTTCCGAACATTACTTATCAAAATTGTTTTCATAAATCGATTATTAAATGAAATTTCAAAATATTATATTTTTTTAGAGACCTGCAAGCCTGACCTGGCTACAGATTTTTTAAAATGAAACTTAGTCTAGATCTTAAAATGTAGGCTTGTGAACCCGTTAAAATTTTAGCCCGGCTTCGGTTTAATCCAAAAAACAAGAGGTCGGTTTGGTACGGGTTTGGAAGCTCTACCTTAACTCGAATTCAGCTTCAAGTTCGGGTTTGCATTAGAAAACTCATTTTTTAGGAAAATCATTGACAATATATTAAACCATTACACAGAATTTTGAGGCTTTTTGTTTTAACTTAAACAGTAAATCATGTCCTGAGTCGCAACAATGTTCCAGGTTAGAAACTAAACGGCTTTTTTGGGGAGTATTAAAATAATTAACTTTAATTTTATATTATATAGGCTAATTAACATTTGAGTCGATTTTTAAAAACGGTTAACTCACTAGTTTATCCAGAAAAATATTACGAAAGCCTGAAGAGTTTGCTCATGTGGCACAAAGGTTTGGACATCTATTAGCGAAATCTCGAGGCTTAGGCAAATTTTTCTGGCTAAAATATTAAGTTAGTCGTCTTTAAAAATCAGCTCAAATCGAGCCGTTTAAAAGCACTATAGATAATAAATTATTTAAATTTTTGTTTTTTTCAAAGAAGTCAAATGATTTTATTGATAATATTCTAAATTTATATCAACATAACAATATATACAAAAAAAAGGAAATATATATTTTAAAAAAGATTAAAATAAAAGATCGATATTTCATCGTTTTTAAATATCGGTTATCGGCCAATATTATAAAATATTAATGTTATTATATAAATTAGTAATTTATCAATAAAAATATTTTATATACTTTTAGATTCATGACATGAATATAAAACTATCTGATCATTATAATATATTTAAATTACTTATGTTGTGGTATAGTTAAATTATAGATTATCCTTAAAAGGTATGAGGTGAGTAGATGCAGGCAGTGATGCAAAATGGCTCCATTTGGGCCGATTCTTAAAGAGGGCTAACTCAATATTTTAACAAAAATTTCCTAAACCTCGAGATTTCGCTAATAGATGTCCAAACCATTGTGCCATCTATGAGCAAAATCTTCAGGCTTGCGTAATATTTTTCTGGATAAACTAGTGAGTTAACCGTTTTTAAAAAATCGACTCAAATGAAACGTTTTTGCAACGCTAAATGTATGTATTAAAAATTAAAACGATTAATATATTTACATAATACAAAATCAGATATGATATCGGATCGGTAATCGGTCGATATCAATTTAATACCGGCAATATCGGATCGGCCTCCAAAAATTGGTATCGGTACCTAATTATAAAGTACAAGGCATAAAAACAGTAAAATAATAAATCGTAAAAAATTTTATTTAATCTTATTAACATAATATTTTCCAAAAGCTGTTCCGTCATCTTAGATCTTTGAGGAGAAAGAATAAACTTTAAAAGTGAAAAGCTCTTTCAGCTACTCTGCATATGATATTATTAACAAATTAACTTATGTTGAGGGAAAAGTAAAATAAGATTTGAGTTAATGAATAAATCCCCCAAAATTCATAATATTGTTATTATTAGCTAATTTTTTGATATCCGTAAATGCTGTAATCTTATCAGCAATAGTTAAGATGTATTTCCTAGTGCCTTTCCTTTTGTTGCAACAATTTCTCTAATCCATCTACATGAACAAACTCATATAGACTGTTATTGGGTTGTTGCTAATTACTACAAAAGGCAGTGTTGAACGAATCGATAATTTATATTTCTTGTTTGGATCGACACTGTCACATATAGTTATATATATATTTATATAATCATCGTTTTCGTCTGTGGCCTAATCTATGAGTGCCTGACTAATCGGGTAGTTACAAATCTAGCCAATACAAGGTTTTTTCTATAAATCAATTAGGTGGCTCCGTACTACAGGGTATGATATACTGAATAACGGAGGTGGCAGGGTGATTTAATCTCTTAATATATATAAAAAATCGGAATTATTGCATTTAAAAAAAATTGGTTGTTGTTACAAATTTGGCTGATGCCATTATTTAAATATTGAAAAAAGTTCATAATATAATTTATAAAAAATTGAATCTAATTAGTGTCATAGTATTTAATTTTATAATTACATTTAATAAGGGTTCATTGTCATTTTTGTCTGAATAATCTTTGAAATTAAAAACAAATCACAAATGGCAATGTTAAAAATGAATAGGTATGTCCAACAATCTAACATCAGTACATGCTGACCGAATAAATCCTAAAATATCACTCAAATAATTTATATTTCAAATTATTTATATATGATTTTTAATATAAAATACACTTAACCCGTTTTAAATTCAAGTTCAAATAACAAAACCGGGTTCAGTTTTTAAAAAAAATTTAAACCGAGTTCAGGTTTGGGCTTAATTTTTTAAAAAAACCGGGTTCTCTACTACAAATGTACGTTAGATTCACAAGCCTGGTAAAATGACCAAATATAAAAACTCAGGAGAGGCCTATTGGTGGCTATCTCCGGTCTCTATTAATTTTTTTTAATTAAAAATAAATGAATTACTTACATAGATAAAGCATCTTTTATCTCTTCCAGTTCCTTTTTCTTTTGATCCAACTTTCTCTTATCTTTAGCAGTCATGATCGCTTTATTAGAAACTAAATGCTTGAGCTTTAAATACTGTTTCCACAATTTTTGATATCTATATATCAAATATTAAATGTAGTACATTGGGGTATTTAAGGAGGGTTATACCCTCCCCCATTCTAATTAATTTTTTATTAATAAATGAGATTTAATATGTTATCTGAACTATAAACCTTCAAATTAAATGTAAAAAGATTAGTAATTTTATTTTTTATACATAGTTGATTTTTTAAATTCTAATTTAAAAAACAAAACATATATTAAAAATCTGTTGTCTCAAAATTATGAATACTGGATATTAGAAAGTTAACTCATATTTTTTAGTAATATTTGACCCCCCCCCCCTTTTTTCAAAGAAAATCTTAGATTCGCCACTGACGTAGTATAGCATATTAAATATAAGGGCTAGTAACAAAAATAAACTAAAATATATAAACAAATAACAAAAACATATAAACCAAAAATAATTTTTCTCTAAACAAATTCTTGTTTGTAAATGTGAAATAGATTTCTTAAATTAAATACTAAATGATTCTTTAAAAAATTGGCCATATTTTACAAAGAAAATTGTATATATATAAAAATTTTGAAATAATGGCCATACTTATTTGTTCAATATGTTTTCATATTTTGAATATAAATATGAGAAATTTTAAATTTATAAACTTTGGACATCCCGTGTAGTTAGATTGCACAGGCGTTATGCCAATATGAACAATTTCAGGATATTTGTACGGCGATTCATTTTCCATATCTATATTTGTGTTACTTTCCAATCTATCTATTTGATCGAGCCTCACACTCTTCGGTTTCTGTCGATTATAGATTTTTTTTAAAATTTATCATTTTGGTTGGCATCCAAATTAAAGGCAGGGCCAACACGCGATAAATAAATTATTGCCCTCATCTGGCTTGTAGTTCAAAAAAAAATATTTTATATTTCCCATTCTTCCTTTTCAACTGGTAGAATATCACAATTAAAAAGAAAAACAGGATTTTTTTGACTTAGTGGGTTATGATGTATACTTGGTAACAGAAGGTTTCAGAGATTCAATCCTGATAAGAAACGTAAAAATTTTCAGATTTTTCTTCGATGACTGATGTGTAAAGACATATAGTAAGATGGGAGCTTAAAGATGGCACCCTGGTCACAGACAGGCTTGGACAGCCGGGTGCTAAGGATACTCGTCCAATAAACAAAAATGAAGGAAACAAACAAGTTCCCTCCTAACGACGCGCAGGGTGTAGACCTCCATATTGTGAAAAGAAAAATAAAGGTCAAAGCAAAGAAGACAAGGTTAGCAAGTCTGAATATTAGTACACTTAAAGGTAAGACGAGAGAATTGGCATCAATGTTGAACAAGAGAAAAGTTGATATAGTGTGCATACAAGAGACGAAATGGAAAGGTCAGAAGACTTTAATGATTGGAGATGGGTATAAATTGTACTATAATGGAACTGTTAGCAATAGGAACGGTGTCGGCATCATCCTCAGTCAAGATCTAACCTCCTCAGTGGTAGAAGTCAACAGGAACTATGATAGACTAATGAAAATAAAACTGCATTGGTCAATCTATACTACACATTATTTCAGAATATGCTACTCAAACGGGTTGCAAAGAAGAGGAGAAAGATGACTTTAGAGCTATCCTTAATGAAGATGTAATGGAAATCCCTAAAAAGCAAGAGACAGCTACAAAAGGCATCATGGTGGTTTTGGATATGTAGAAGGAAATGAAGGAGCGAATGTACTGAAATTTGTGCAAGCCTTAGACCTTGCCTTAACCAAAACCTACTATAAGAAAAAGGACAGTCATTTAAAAACATATGAAAGTGGTATAAGGAAAACCCAGATAGATTACATGCTTATCTCTCGCAGAAGATTAAAAGATGTAATAGAATGCAAAATCATCCCAGAAGAAGATATTGCCACGCAACACAAGCTACTAGTCATGGATTTACACCTTACAAATAAATACAATCAAAGCAAGATAAAACCTGAACCATGCATCAAATGGGGTAGAATAAAATCAATGACAGATGCCTTTGCAATCAATGCAAACAATAGATTCATCACAAGTCAGTGAAAAAATGTGGACATACCTTTCATCCAGATTAAGACACTAGGCTTAAGGGGAGGCAATAAATCATATAAAGAATTATAGTGGTGGAATGAAGAAGTACAAACCACTATACAGGAGAAAAAAGACCTATATAAAATTGGTATAAATCAAAAACCCAAATGACAAGACAAGATAAAAAAAATCCAAGAGAATATCTACAAAGGCGGTGGCTAAGGCCAAAGCAATGGTATATGACATATAGGAAGAACTTCAAACTAAAGAAGGGCAAAATAAAGTATACAGATTAGCCAAACAGCAAGAAAAGAATTCTAGGGATATAAACGGAGCTCCGAAAGTAATCAAAAATAAAGATGGGAAATTGATAATAAAGGAAAAAGAAATAATGAATAGATGGAAAGGATATTTTCAGGAGCTTCTCCCCCAGATACTACTTCTAGATGAACACTCCCCATGTAAAAAACTTATACAGCCAATAACAGAACAAGAAATAATCAATTGCCTAAAGCATATGAAAAACAACAATGCTAGGGGTCGAGATGATCAATAGAAAGCCTTAAAGCACTAGGTGATGATGGAATACATTTCCTCACAAATCTGTACAATAAAATATGAGAAATGAAGAGATTCCTCAAAAATGGAGCTATCGAGTTCCTATCTTCAAAAATAAAGGGGATCCACACAATTGTCAAAATTACAGAGGCATAAAACTAATGTCACACTGTCTTAAACTTTACGAAAAAATCATAGAAAAAAGGTTAAGAGACATAATCGAAATAGGAGAGACTCAGTTTGGCTTTATGACTGGAAGATCAACAACTGATGCAATCCACGCAATTAGGCAAATGAGTGAAAAATACAGGGAAAAGAACAAATAGCTACACATGGTCTTTCTCGATCTAGAAAAGGCCTTCGATAGAATCCCAACAAGAAAACTTATCTGGTGGGCGCTACCCCACAAAAAGGTTCCCGAAAAATATATAAGAATAATACAGGATATTTATATGGGCCATACAACAATGGTCCGAAACACAACTGGTACTTCAACAGGCTTCACAATAGCCGAGGGAGTTCATCAAGGGTCGGCTCTCAGCCTACTTCTCTTCATAACAGTAATAGATGTATTAGCACAGTCTATACCACAAACAGTTCCATGGGATATTATATTTGCAGATGATATTGTGATACTTGCCGGATCCAAGGATGAAATGAAAGAAAGATTTTTGAGTTGAATAAATATCCTAGAAAAGATGGACTAAAAGTAAATAGAGAAATGACGGAGTATATGGTGATAGGAGGAGATCAGAGAGTATTGATATAAATGAATGGCAGATATGGGCAATTGAAAGCTGTAAATATTTGAGCTCCACTATACAAACAAACGGCACAATAGAGAAAGAGATAAAGAGTAAAATTAATCAAGGGTAGTTAAAGTGGAGATCTTTATCTGGAGTGATCTTTGACAAAAGGTGGTCAAAGTAGAGATCTTTATCTGGAGTGCTCTTTGACAAAAGAATCCTACACAAATTGAAGGGGAAAATTTACAGTTCAATAGTACAACCAACTATTCTATATAGTTCGGAAACATGGCCAACCAAAGAATCAGATGAGAGAAGTCTAAAACTATGGAGATGAAAATGCTGAGGATGATTGCTTGGGGTATCAAGAAAGAATAAGGTGAAACACAAGAAAACTAGGAAGTTTAAAGGTAGTGCCTATTAAGACTAAGATAATGGTGAACAGACTTAGGTGGTATGAGCACACAATGAGAAAACCAATGAACTACATAGGAAATAAGGTTGAGAGTTTGGAAATGATAGGCTAACGTAGAGGAAGGCCAAAACTTCAATGGGGCCTTAAAGTTAGAGCCAATATGAAGAAGTATAAATTAGATATGATTAACATAAAGTGGAGAGAGATATTAAAGGAGCTTACCACCAGAAAAGGTGAAAGCTAAAGAGAAAAAAAGGAGGTGGAGCCAAATAAACGAGAAGTATCTAAGAAATTTTGCTATTTACCTTTTTAATAGCAACTACAGCATTGGTTATTTGTTAATAACAATAATTTTCAAGATTTTTTTTTACCAAATTGGGGTTACAAACGATAGTGTTTTTAACCCTTTCAACGATACGGTCCCAATGATAATAATTCATATTTTGAATTTCGTTTAGATTATCTTCTTCAAATAGAGGTTTAAAATTAGAGATTAAATAAGACAAAACTGCATTCATAGCCAAAATCTCCTGGACATTTCCTATTTTTTTAATATTAAAAATAAAATTTAGTAAATATTTTTCTTATCGATGAATGAAACCTTCAATGTTTCGTATAAATTTCGGAATAAAATGAAACAATCTGTTACATGTTTGTTGGTTTGCGTCCCACTCTTTGCTATCGACGCTTATGTCCCAGTCATATAATTCGAGTATACATTGAAACAAAAATTTCTCAAAAAGTAATAAATCTTTGACCACAAATACCTTTCCCCGGTTTATACAAAATAACGTAAATTTTAAAAATATTTTTTATGAACTTGAGGAATTGGTTCTTCCGAAAAATTGATTGTATAATCTATATTATATCTTGAAAATTTAACGGGTGGCAACTAAAAAAAAATATGTTATGAAAAAGGAAATTAATTTATAGTTACTTTGTCTATTTTGAAATGGGTCAAAATAAAAAATCCATCAAAAACATAATCTTGTTGATTTTGTTGAATAACAGTTATATCTTTATTCTGTATATTTAATATGTAAATTATTAGATATAGTTATGTTATAAATTACAAGGAAATTAGTGGGAGGATATATAGTAATAGAATAGCAATATAGTTCATTATTATTGATGAATTCATTGCATCTCTTGTCCCGCACCGAATCTTCACCAGCAAACACGTTATGATGGATACCTTGATTTCTTGATATCAAACTACATTTACATACATCCCCATTATTGAGCTAAAAAATGTTTTGTATATTAATTTTGCTGCTACCCCAAACCATAAAACTCTGGACTAAAAAAAATATGCAAAAGCAAAGTATATCATATTATAATACTTTATTTTATTTAAGCATTAAACTAGTGTTGTTAAACCGCTCGTTTTGAGCCGATTTTTAAAAACGGCTAACTCAATATTTTATCCAGAAAATATTACGCAAGCCTGATTTTGTTCATAGAAGGAACAAAGATCAAGACATATATTATCGAAATCTCTAGGCTTAGGCAATATTTTTCTGGCTAAATTTTAAAAATTGGCTCAAAACGAGCCGTTTAACAACACTACATTAAACCCTAGCATAAAAATCGGTCTTACAATAAAACAAAACATAAATAAGTCTTTTGAGTTCAGAAGAATTAAGTCAATAATAAATTATGCAAAAACTCAAGTAAATTTTACAACAGGTATTTGATCCAGCCCTACAAATGCTCCTATCTTAGGGTTAACTTGCCATTACATAGATGATGGTAAATATAAAAATTAATATTAAATTCCTTTTGCTAATTCACATTCAGTTGATAACATTTAAAAAGTAAATTATGAAGCAAATAGATAGACAATTAGTAAAATCAATGTGAAAAATAACAAGTATTCGTAATTCCTTTAAGGAATTTGCGATGAAGTAAACTTGAGATTAGAACCCTGCAAAGTAATTTTTCGCTATCCGAGTCTAAGAACAAATTTTTTGTTCTAGCCTAACCTGAGCCCGACTAGATTAAAGTTATTTTGGAATTTTAGTTTCAATTTTATAATATTTAAGAGGAAATTAAAAATTATGTCTATTTATTTAGATATTGCCACCTTAAATAGAAGTATCTTTAACCCTAATAAATAGGCAATTATCAATTGTCAAATAAAGCTGCGAAAATGAGTATAACATTTTTGAATTTGTATATATAAAATAATAAAGACTGTAGAAATTGTAATTATTTGTAAAATATAAATTGATTATGTAGTGAGTTGTAAAATGTAAATTGTCTTATTTGTAATTGAGGATTTTTTTAGTATGCAAATTTTATTTTTTAAAATTATTATAAAAAGTGATTGCAAATGTTTAAAAAGAGATCGAGCGAAATGTAGTAAATTATATTTTTCAGTTTATATATTTTACTTTCAGTGGCGTAGCCAGGATTTCTTATTGGGGGGGGGGGGACTTCGCCCCCCAAACCTCCCATTTTTATGAACACGCAATTGCTTATATGTTAGGCTATGTTAAAACTATTTTAAATATTTGCATATAACAAAATTTTAGAGAGTATTTCATTATAGATTTTATTTATTATATAAAAATACTTTAGCATAAATAATATTCATTTATTTAAATGTATTTATTTTTATTTAAAAATAGTTTTTCAAAATGTAGATATCAGGCTACTTTCCAATCAAATCCAGTGGCATTAGCATAAGGTCATCCTCCCTACTTTCCGTTAGTGCGTTCATATCCTCTCGCCTGTCTTGCGAGCCCATCATACACACTCACAAAACATCCTGATCCCTTGCTTCTGCAGGAAATTTATGGAAGTCTCTCTCATTAGTCGATCCTCCCTCATCGGAACTACAGGACTGGGATAAGCCTCTAGTTGGCAACATCGCGAAACCTTGACCAGCTCCTAAGCAATGATGAGCTACATTACGCCATCAGTCTTAGACTTAATTGTGATATGGTGATTGCCTATCACTATATCCTATGTCAAACATCGGTCAACTCCAAAGGCCGTCACGCACTAAAAGCGCTGAGGCAGATTCATTAGACATTCAAAAATGCAGGGCCTTGAAATCTTATGACATACCGTCAACCCTCGAGCCTACTGGCCTATTATTCCGATGGTAAACGGCCTGATGGTTTTAACGTGATCCCTTGGAAGAGGGGTGAATTCCTAACAGATTTCTCATGCATCGATCCTCTTGCCCCTTCAATATAAATAGGGATGCTCTACTGGACGCCGAGACGAATAAACTAGCCAAACATTCGCCGCTACCTGTCAACTATCACTAATAGCCACGCCTTTAACATTGTTCGGCTCTCATGCCCTAGCCTTTTTAAAGATCTGGGGCATCAGATCTCTGCTAGGACCGAGGAACCCAAAGAGAGATTCTACCTATGTCAAAGGTTAACCCTAAACATAATAAAGTGCAATTATATCAGCTTTATACTCTCAATGACCGAAACCCCCTGATTGAACATACTAACCTATGTCAAAGGTTAACCCTAAACATAATAAAGTGAAATTACATCAGCTTTATACTCTCAATGACCAAAACCCCCTGATTGAACATACTATGCATAGGATAGACTTAGGCTATTTTGCTCCCAATTATAACGTTGATAAAAGGAACTTGGATCTAATCGATTAAAGACAGCAAAAATTAATGACTATATAATTGTGATTTACTAATATTATATTTTCTCCAATAAAATATTATAACTTATTTTGTAATTTTATAATCATTATTGACTTTATACTAAAATTGTGATATTTAAAAAATAATTATAAAGTTTTTATACAATTCTTATCTTTTTTATACAGATTATAATATTAAAAATTTTATGTAATAAAACTATTACATAAAATATAAGTTTATGCAAATAATGGTACTTAAAAAAATATGACGATATTATCATAACACAAATAATACACAGTACTTTGATTAAAAATAGTATTAATTGTTTAAGAGTTAATACAAAAATTATATAAATGTTATAACTAAGGAAAATAACTTGATGGCATATATGAATAATTATTATATATTAAACTAATATAATCATATTGCAATTTTTTGATTTGAATTTATAAAGAGAGGTCTACTTTTCTCTGAGATTTTGCTAATTCATCTAAAATCAAATTTTTATCTAGAATAATCTTCTTATAAATATTTAATAGGATATGCCTAATCCATTTAAACGTTTTTCACCGATGGTATTTCTTAAATAGGGGTAGCTAAAATAATGTTTTGATATTAGGGAGGGAATCTAAAGTGCAATTACACATGGAAAGGGCCTGCAGTGCATTTTTTGGTCTCAAAGAATACTCTATTCTGTCAAGATTTTTATACCAAAATCCGACATCACAAAGTAACTTATCATATGAGTCTACTAAATCATCATCATAAAACTCAGAGATTTTTTTAATATCCTCTCGTGTTTCAGTAATCAACAATTTAGATAAAACTGGCAAAAGAAAATAAAAGCTTTTTAAAATAAATTAATATTGTTTTTTCATATTGACAAATATATATTTTTATAAAATGGAATATGACAAACTAGACAAGTTTTATCAAATACTGTAAATCAATTATTATTTATAATAAATTAAAAACATAAAAATAGTTGTTTTTTAAATATCAAGCATTCATTATCAGTTTATTAAATTAAAATAAAAAAATTTTAATGGGGGGGGGGGGCGCCCATCCCTATGCCACTGTTTACTTTGTTAATTTTCTAATTTAATTATCATTAACTTTTCACGTTTGTATTAAATAAAATAAATTTTGAATTTGTTGTTTGTTAAATTAATTCTTTAGTTTCTTAATTGACAACCAGTGTCATAATATTAAATAGAATCAGAATATGAATAATTATGATATATAATTAATGACATATCAAGCTTAAAGTTTGTCCTGCTTTCTTCAAAAGCGAACCAGCTAATGAAAACGCCATTTAGCTGCTAGACGAGGAGGCAGGTAAAATCCGGAATTTAAGAGCCAAAAAACTTTGGAAAGTCGATTTGATAAGCTTTATAAAATTAAAAATGGTGTCATCTTCTTTAGGAAACTTTGCAAACGAGTATTTTTGAAAGTTTTGATTATTAAGCCTACTTCTAATATTTAATTTTCGGATTGAACCCAGAATCGGGCTACCTCTTACAACCCGATCTGAGCTCTAGGAAAAATGTTTTCAATTTCCGAGTGCAGCATGGCAACCCATGCAGGTCTCTACTTGTGACTCTTTAATTTTACCTCCTGCTGTCTTCCCTTTTTTCATTCTTTTTCAATGCTCTCTTAATTTTGTCCTTGACAAATTTACACCCTGCACCTTCTACCTTTGCACAACTAACATCATTATTCCATTCATTCTCTTCAATCAAAAGTCCTTTCATGTAGATCTTCCAAATGTTCTTAATACCACTATTATCAATCACCATTTTTCCTTCCATATTTTTAAAATATTTAATACCTACCACATCCTGTCTCTTTTTTGCCATCCGGACTACATTTCCCATTCCTTCCGGACATTCCATTTCTTTAGCAAACTCCTGCCTTTGTTTCATGTGCTTTTGCTATTAATTTCTTAGCACTTATTTTCACCACTTTGTAAATATTGTTATCACTATTTTCTTTACTATTATACCATTCTTTGAAGTACCTCCGTTTCTCATTCCCAGCTTGTGCCACTAAATTTCTCTTATTGCTAATCATATTGATGTTTAGCACTATCCTTCTTTCCAAACCTTCAGCCTTGGCATAAACTTTCTTTTAGTGATTCTGGTGTCTTTAAAAGTTAGATTTATTTAAACTAGTAGGTGTTGGTCAATATATTCCTCTCCCATTATCACTTTCACATTTTTTTACTATGCTCCTATCAATCTCCTTACTAACAAATAATCCACCACACTTCTAGCATTACCTTTGTAAGTCACCAGCTTCTCAGATTCTCTTTCTTAAACATTGTATTACAAATAATCATATCCATAGCATCATCAAAATCCAAAATTCCTCCCCTATGGATTTCTCATGCCATAATAAATCCTCCATGTATTCCCTCAAAACTCCCACTATTCCAACCCTATTTATTATTATTTAACATTATAAATAATTTTATAATAATAGTTGATCAATTTTAAAAAAAATTATGTGTTATCTATATACAATCTACAAAAATGAGCAGCATGCAAGTATGATTTGAATAATCATTGGCCTTTCTAGAGGGGACAAAAATGATGGAGCCCAGCCTGTGGCCAGCAGTCTACAGCTCTGTTTATATATAAAAGTAAAAATATATGGAAGTGACAGTGTCACAATTGTTATCAGCAAGGGAATATCCAAATAAATTGTCTTGAAATAGACAATTTTATTTATGAGTGGACCTGGCTAGAACTATTTTGAATATTTAAAAACAGATTAAATAGGCCAAAAAATTTATTTAACTTTTAAATTTTTTATACTTTAACATATGTTATTCATTTGTTACAGGAATTCAATTTTAACACCATGTTTCATGACTATTATGAAAATTAAAAAGATAAACTCTATTTATAAAGAAAATCTTAAAAAATTAGTACAATACCTTTCCTTTTATATTGTGGTGCAATTTTTGAATTGTTGGGCAAGCATTTACATTTTTCACTTAATATATATATAATAGATATATTATTTAATTAGTATTTACAAAAATGTGATAGTAACTTTTGCGAAAAGTTTTCATGAAGTTTTAAAAGATTTTCATTCCCAGACAAGACCTATGATAAAATTAATATCGATTTTTGGAAATATTAATATAAAATAAATTTTATCTCTATTAATACATACATTTTCATCTTTTTTTGCATAAAAATATTTTGATGCCATCCATGTGGTCAAGATCTTATTCTCAATTGAGTCCGAAATATCATAATTCTTAACAGAATAATAGTCTTGAAATTTTTTGTCTAAAATATTTTCGTTTATCATAAAAATGAATGAAAGTTTAAATTATTAAAATATAAATACAGATGCTAAACCATGACCTAAACAAATATTTAACATTCAAGGGCGTACCGACCACAATAGCGTTATTGAAAGAGGGGGAGGTTTAGGGGCTCAAGTCCACTGTAAAGTTTATCCTTAAATTAAGGTAATTTTGTGTAATGTTAGCTAAAAAAAGAAGATAATTTTAATAATGTTAGCTAATAAAAAAGGTAATCTTGAAAATTTTTTTATAAGCATTTAAAATATATTTAAAAGCTAAAAATTTTGGTTTAAAAAGACCTTGACTTTCCCTAAAGACTTAAAGTAATCAGCTAAAATATTTTTTTATACGTTTTTATTTGATACTCATATCAAGATATAATATTTATAACATTTTTTCCCACCTCATGATTTAGTCCCGTTGATCTAATATGATGTTTATTCAGTTAAGAAACCTTTTCTATGTTATTAATCTCTTAAGCCACATATTACCTAAACTTAATTAGATATAAATTAGAGATAAACACTTCGACTAATTTAATTAAAATGAAAATAATATTTAGAATTACAAAAAATCTCGGGTAAAGATATATGGTGTTAGTTCACTTGCTAAACAACGACCAAAATTTAGTAAAACGGAATAAGGTCCGTTTTTTTAAATATATATTAACGGAATCGCCATCCAGCCCGATCTACAATATATCATCCCTCAAGGATGGAACCATTGTTGGATTTAGAAAAAAACATGACCCTTGATAGATTCGAACCCAGAGCTATCGGATTGTGATACATCTGAACCAACTAGACATAGACGCTACTCAAAAACATCAATTAATTCTTATATAAGGATAAAATTACAACACTATCTAATATTTTAATAAAACACAAAAATTTAATTTATTCAATGCTATGCATCATTACCCATTACACATATATAATTTAATTATTCGATTTAAAAAAATAATTCCTGGTTCTTATTATTTTAAAACCTAAGTAAAGATAAAATATATATTAGTAAAATAATCTATATTTTTAAATATGACTGTCTTTGCTTTTGACATTTAAATCCAAATAATTTCCAAATAAAATATGGCCACTAATGTTTTTGAAGCTATATATTAATATTATTAGCAGTCAAGCGCAACGTTACTATCCTAAATATTTTCAAACATCAATTTTCTTAGAAAAATGGTCTCCTTTAAGATGATATTTAATTTATCTGTAATCAGAGTTGTACAAAAGATCTTCTTTGAAGATTTTTGAGCGAGATCTAGCTCAAAAATTTGAGCACGATCTTAGATCGTAAAATTTGAAGATCTTTTATTTTTTAAAAATTTTGTGTAACGATCTTCAAAGATCTTCATGATATTTATTTTTTTACCCCTTTATTAAAAGCCCAGATGTTTTTCAATTTTCATCAAGGCAGGAGGAGAGGTATAAAACATAAAAGAAATATTATATTAATAAAATTGAAAAACATCTGGGCTTTTAATAAAGGGGTAAAAAAATAAATATCATTCTTTGAAGATCGTTACACAAAATTTTTAAAAAATAAAAGATCTTTTTATTTTGAGCAAATGTACAACTCTGTCTGTAATTAATAAAAGAAAAAGATGGCGGGTTAATGAACAGAATAAACGTTCCAGAGATCGTGAAGCCCAAAAATCTGCCAATCATACAAAATAAAATTAGTCATCTATATATAAACTAAAAATGCATATATATTCTTATACTTTCTTACATATTAGATTATATCTATTTTAGCTTATGAGGATATTCCCACTATTTCTAGAGAGTTGAACCTAACTGACTCCTCTGCAGGTTCAATGCATTATTATTTTTTAAATTTTAAATTTGTTTTTATATTAGGAAACAGACCCTGTCTTAACCACTCTTAATGATTGTACAAATTTTGATTTATCTGTCATCGTCAAACAAAGAAAGTGGCAAGTTAATCAACAAAATAAACGTTCCAGAGATCGTGAAACTCAACAAAATCTACCAAAAATATAAAATAAAGTTTGTCATCTATATATATATATATTAAAATGCATAAATGTTCTTTCTTACATTTTAGATTATATCTATTTAATTACTGAAGATATTTACACTATTTCTAAAAAGTTAAATCTAATATTGACTCCTCTGCAGGTTTAATGCATTAATATTTTTTTAATTTTTCTTATGTTTTATTTTAGAAAATAGACCCTGTCTTAACCTCTCTTGATGATTATACAGATTTTGATTTATCCATCATTAATAAAAGAAAAATATGATTCTGATCCTAATTTTTTTTTAAATACTCCTTTTTGTTCCTAAAAGACGATACGGGGTTTTATATTTTTATTATTATTTAAATGGGATTTTGCATCCAAAAAAATAATACATAGTACGATATTTTTATTATTTAAATATTATTCTTTATCTATTCACAAGGATCCTAATTTTTTGAAGTTTGCCAATTAGTCTCTCTTAATAATATTTTATTTTATTCATGTTGATTATTTTGTAAAATTAATGGTTCACTATTTTTATTATATAAATCGGATCGAAAGAAAATTCATAGTATGATTTAATTGAAATTATATATCTTAAGGATTCTACATTTTCTAAAGGTTACCCATATTGGTATCACCCAGCGTCTACGTGACAGGATTTTCACTGGATGCAAACCCCCTTCAAAAACCTTTGCCTACCCCCCCCCTAAAAATCCCCGCCGTCGCGGCGGTGTCTCTTTATAATTATTTTCACCTATTTATTTATTGATACTCTTTTCAAAGAATTTATAAAGGATAACTTAAATTAATCTTTCTCTACTACCAACTATCGATATTTTATGAATATAAAGAATTTATTTTTTAGATAATAAATTCAATTAAAATCTCCATTATTTACAATGAATTTATTATTATGGCATTATGAGCTTGCTGAAATATCTAAACCATTTGGGAAACAATATGTATGATTGTTTGCAATATATTGATTTGGTCGAATTGTATTATAATAATACTATAATAAAAGTATTAATTTTTACAACTATAAATTTTGTCCTATTTAATCTCAAAATTTAATAGATAACCCCCCAAAAAATTTATCTTACCCCCATTAAAGCAGCTTACCCCATACCCCCTCAAAAAAAATAGGATGCAAACTGTTCTTACCCCTCCCACTCATGTACACGCTGGTATCACCGCACAATATTCCCCTCTATTTTATTTTGCACGAATCACAAAAGGATGGTTGGCATGCTATATTTATCATTTAAATAATTTTATATATCTAATCTTAAAATCCTACCTTATAAAAATAATATGAGAATTGGTTCTCCAAATAATATTCGTATTTATTCGCAATATACTTATACTATTTTTAATAATTTTAATAAATATTTATTAATTTTTATTTATCATTTTACTGCTCAATAAATAAACTATTGATAATACACACATTTATATTATGGCTATACATTAATTTTTTTTAAATTTACCCTACCCAATGCCTAGGGGAGACGAGGGCTAAGCGCGCAAGGGACTTGTCGGTTCAAAAGATTTTATTTTAAAACCAGTAAAGATTAAAAATTGAAATTTTATTCTAAAATAGAATTCTATAATATCCATATTTGGCGATGAAAATAATTTATAATATTTAGCTATTTAAATTTTTATCTGTTATGACATGTTTTTGACGTGAAAATTACAATATTTTCACTTAATATCATTAGGTTGTATTCAAAATTTAAAAGTTTAAACATGACAAAATGGACATTATATGAAAGTTAAATATCTATTTTTATATATTTTATAAATGTAATATATAAAATAATCATTATTATATAAATTTATTAATGTGTTTGAAATGTATCAAAATAATTTATTGTGAACTCAATTAAATATGATTAGATATATACATATGTTTTTCTATTTTTATAAATTGTAATAAATTGTAGCTTTAAGCAAATATAAAAAATCAATTTATTTAAATACATTACAGTTCTCCCCACTATAAATTCAATTCATCATAATAACGTAATGGGGGTTTCGAAACTCTTTTTTCTAGAGTTGTTTTTTTATTATGTTCTGCATTGTCCAAATCCTCAGTCATTGTTATGGGTATTTTCTTAGTTTGTACATGAGCATCCCTCAGTTGGTCGGCATGCTTGTTTTTTACAATACCCTCAGACTCAACATCATACAATATTATTCCGTTGAACCCCTCTTCCTTCATGCCAACCCGCAGTCCTTTCCTTTTTTACCCAAACCTTTTACTTATCTTAAATTCACGGGGCTCAACGTTCCAATCATTATAATTTTTTTGTTTCCATAACGCGTTTTCAGCTCTCGTAGATAATTTCCATTGATCTAACGTCGTCCTGAGCGGCCTTCCAAACATCATTTCGGCAGGGGATTTACCGGTAGTTACGTTTGGAGTATTTTGGTGTGTAATTAAAACATTCTGTAAATTTAACTGGTCCGGAGTCCCACTTCTCCTTCCAGTATAGAAACGCGTCTTTGTTATGTATATAACGCTCAGCCAAACCATTCGATTTGGGCCTATAAGGGGCCGATCTAAAATGTTTTATATTATTTTTAAAAAGAAACGTTTTGAATTCAGATCCAGTAAACTAAGTACCGTTATCTGATACAATGTAACGAGGTAAACCAAATCTAGCGAAATAATTACGCAGATTATTTATTACACTCGTCGAATTAATATGTGTTAAAATTGCAACTTCAACCCATTTGGTGAAAGCTTCTACGCAAATTAACCAGTACTTTCCAGACACGGGGCCTGTCAAATCAATGTGTATTCTTTCCCAAGGTCGGGTAGGAATATTCCAATTGTATAATGGTACTTCTCTAGCTCCCGGTCTTCCTTCCTGAAAACTCTTGCAGTTTTTGACAAATTCTTCAACATCTCGATCAAGATTTGTCCAGAAGACATAGTATCTGCATAAGGATTTCATCTTCACTATCCCCGGATGTCCTTGATGGATAGCATTCAAAACC